AGCAGGTGGCGGTCTTCAGATGGTGATGACACTGCACTTCTCCGGCGAGAAGTCATGCTCCATCAGCGGCCCGGTTGACGAGGAGACCAGGAACCCGTCCACCCTGGCTGCCATGTCCATGTCGATGGTCACCGTGCTCAGCCCCTTGCCGATCACATAGATCTTCCTGCCGATGGCCACAAGCTCGCAGGGTGGGCGTGTAAGCTTGTCCGACAGCCTGCCGACCATCACCCACTCCTTGGTCTCGTTAATCCACATCATCAGCTTGGTGCCGAGGGACTGGTCGAGCATGTAGAGCGTCCCATCAACGACGACCGTCGGGCCAGACCAGCACAGGGCAATCTCATTTTCCTTGCCCCTCCAGGACTGGTCGACCGGGTCGTATATACCCGCGAAGTACATCCTGTTCCAGGACGCCTTGTGAATGGTCACCAGCTCATCATCGAGTGCCACAAATTTGACAATGTCAGGAGTGAGCATCGGGTTCTTGTGCGAGAACCAAGAGTCCGTGGCTTTGTCGTAGATGTCCCAAGAATTAGGTGACTTGTCTGTCAGTCCGAGTCCTCCAGTAACATAAATCTTGTCATTCAGAGCTGCCGTTACAAAGAAGCACCTGAAATCAAAACAGCAGGACATAAGTGGATCACCCATAGTAACTAGGACACTAGGCCACATATGCAATGGGGAAAACAAAGAGAGAACAGAAGCTGATGGAGTACCTAGCAGTAGGCATTGGTGCAGCTTTGCTCCAGTGATTTGAAGCAGCATCGTAACAATACACTTCATCAGTAGCATCCTTTAGCCAACTACAACCACCCATGAGAAATAACCTCCTGTCCAAGGACTCTATGGAAACGCCTTCCCGCCCTGAGCATGGAGGTTCCATGACTTGGATGACTTTCAAGCACCGGGTCGTAGGGTCAGGAACAAGAACATAGCATTTGAAGCCTGTACCCCTACAGATCACATATATCCAGGACTCATCCAAGTTGTTCCTCTTGCGGTAAGAGTGCCACTCTTCACTACATAACAATGTCTTCCATCCCCTCGAGACACATCTAAGAGCATTGTGATACTGGCGAGGAACCCTTGCCAGGCAAAGAAGAGCGATCTCGTCCGGAAGACCATGTAGAAGTGGAGTCTGGAGCTCAGCAGATTCCATCTTCCTACAGAATAGCTTCTGGTAATCACCACTTTCAAGGTGATGGTTCATCCTAGTAACACAGAATAAAGCAGGTGAGAAAGGGACAGCTGTTCAAATTGAAGCCATAAAACATAACTAAAGCAAACGGAGTTGGACAAAGTGCTGAAAACCCATTTGGTGGAATTCAACTCAATCAAGGATATGGACAAAATAAGTTACATGGACAAAACATAAATCAAGAGGTGGTGAGCTTTTCCAGAAACACACAATTTTCCAATGGCACTAGTGTTACTGACAAACCTTGTTACCACAAATATTATAATCATTGTTTCATTCTTAATAGGCACATTTGCTCAGAAAATTTGATCAGTTTAGGATTTATAATCAGGTAGTGTAACTTCTTAAAGAGACACCTTTCTCAGATACCGTCCTTGTGATCTCATCATAGCAAACAAGCAGAAATAAAAGGAAACTAAAAGGAATTATGTGTTAACTTCTGTAATAGTGATTCTTAAATGGGTGGACAGCACCACACTAAAACGGTGAATACAATGGATCCCTAGTATTTTCAAGCAACAAAATATTAGTTGCAACAATTGTTTACGCGCATCGTTGCTCAGAAAATTTGATCAGTTTTGGAGGTATAATCAAGGAAAGAGGACTTTATAAAGTACACCTTTCTCAGATACCGTCCTTTGATCTCATCACAGCAAAGAAGCACAAAAACTGGGAAACAAAACAGATACTCTAATGGGACTACTAACAAGCAGAATATATTGTTCTTTAAGCTGACACATGTGCAAATGACAAAAGGCTGTTGTGGTCTGAAATCCATTTGCTGAGAAAATTTGATCAGTTCAGAATGTATAATCAATGAAGGAGCACTTTTTAAGAGACACCTTTCTCAGATACCGTCCTTGTGATCACAGCAAAATTTTAGTTCTATAATTCAATTACAGCACTTTGCACTGAATATTTTATCAGTTTAGGATGCTTAATCACTGATTGAAGAGCCAAAACATTGTAAGGATGACAAAGCAAACACCAAATGAGGGCAAGGTGAGATATTATTTAATGTATACCAAACATCGAAAAAACATGTAATTCTGCCTAAAATGCAAGAAGAGCATGTGGATTGCCATTGAATTCAAGTTTGCCATTGTTTGCTCAGAATGTATGATCAGTTTAGGATGTGTAATCAATGAAGGAGGACTTTTTCAAGAGCCACCCTTACTCAGATACCGTCCTTGTGATTCGTCACAGCAAACAAAGAAGCAGACGAAGGTTACATAACCCATGAACCTAGCAAATCAAATGGATTTACATTTCAAGCAGGATATGCGCTTCAAATGAAGAAGGCATTGTAAAGACACACTTTAGTGATTGTGGATCACTTGTCAATTCATGTTTTCAGATGCCTGCTCAGAATATATGATCAGTTTAGGATGTGTAATCAAGGAAGGTGGCCTTTTTCAAGAGCCAAATTACTCAGATACCGTCCTTGCGATTCATCACAGCAAACATGCAAGCACAAAATAGCTATGAAAACTAGTCATAGTCATGCTACCATTGAACACAGCTAAGTACATGCTTTCCATTTCAAATGCAAGAGAACAAAAAAGAACCATGGAAGGGTGTTTGCTCAGAAATTAAGATCAGTTTAGGTTGTATAATCAAGGAAGGAGGGCCTTTTCAAGAGCCACCTTACTCAGATACCGTCCTTGCGATTCATCACAGCAACAAAAAAAAGCTAGTCACACTTATGCACCACCCGATGAAACCAGTGAAGTAGATGGTTTACATTTCAAACAAGAAAGGTTGCACGACAAAAGAAACAAAGACATTGTAAAGCGACCAACTGGTTCGAATGTCCAATTCAGATTCGAATATGTTTGCTCAGAATATATGATCAGTTTAGGGTGTATAATCAAGGAAGGTGGCCTTTTTCAAGAGCCACCTCGCTCAGATACCGTCCTTGTGATTCATCACAGCAAACAATTAAGTTCACACAACATGTCTTGTAAGCATATGTTTAATATTTCAATGCAAAAGAACAAAAACAAAACAAAGTGATGGGAACCATGGGAGTGTGTTTGCTCAGAATTTATGATCAGTTAAGGGTGTGTAATCAAGGAAGGAGGCCCTTTTCAAGAGCAACCTTGCTCAGATACCGTCCTTGCGATTCGTCACAGCAAACAAAAACCAAACATATCAGCAAAGCATATGTCTCACATTCAGATGCAAGAAAAACCAAAAACAAAACACTACGATTGGAACCATGGAATGGATGTGCGTTTGCTCAGAATTTATGATCAGTTTAGGGTGTGTAATCAAGGAAGGTGGCCCTTTTCCAAGAGCCGCCTCGCTCAGATACCGTCCTTGTGATTCATCACAGCAAACAAATCAAGACAACACAAGATATAAGTGGAGTGTACGCTGCACATTTCAGTGCATGGAAGCAAAGAAACGCTCTGAAGGAAGGGTGTTGTGCTTGCTCAGATATTAGTCTCAGATTGGGTATAATCACGCCGCGGGAGGACCCGTCGCTCATATACCGTCCTAGCGGAATCATCACGGCAAAACAACCGCCAGCCTCGAGGGGCAGACGAACCAGGGCCAATCCAGAAATGGAGAACGGTCACTGCTACTGCTACTCAACGTCAACCAGGCCCAGATCGGGCCAACGAACGAACCCTACCAGCGAAGCACCCTACCGCGCGAGAGATCCCCAATCTATCTGATCCACCAACGATCTACACTAAGCAAACTAGCAGGCGCACATCGACTGGAATACCATCGGAGGGGGGAACCAATCGCACCTTGTGGGGGTGCGTGCGTGCCCATCGGATCT